AGTTTCTCCATAGTGAGGGACACCTGGAGAGGTACACAGAGTTACATGGAGAAGAGAAGAGGGAGGAGGGAGATAGAGATGACCAGGAGGAGAAGAGGGGGAATCAAAGGGGGAGAGAGCAAGCTAGCCAGTAATCACTTCTCTATGTGCTCTCCACAGTCTGGACCCCTCAGAGATGTTCACGGGGTTACACAGAGAAGAGAAGAGGGAGGAAGGAGACAGAGGCAGCCAGGAGGAGAAAAGAGGGAATCAAAAGGAGAGAGACAGATCCAGCCAGTAATCAGTTCCCTAAGTGTTCTCCACAGCCTGGAACACATAAAGAGATTCACAGAGTTGGGTAGAAAAGAGAAGGGGGAGAGAGGTGATAGAGGTGACCTGGTGGAGAAAAAGGAGAGTCCAAAGGGGGAGAGAGCAATCCAGCCAGTAATCTCACTCCCAAGTAAAAATGGGTACTGAAGATCGGGTTCTTAAAGGTACAAAATTGATAAAAAAAAAAAAATACCAAAAAGCAAAGATTAAAAATCTAGAGTAGAGGTTAGATTCTCAAACATACAATATTAAAGGAAAAAACAAAGTCACAAAATTTATGAAATATATATATATGAAATTTGCTTTAAAAATTGGGTCTTTTTTTTTGCAAAGTAATAGTAGGTTATAAAAATGAAAATTAAAGGAGTAATAGAGGACTTAAAATTTTTTTAATTTTAATTTAAAAAATGATAATATACATGTAAATCCATGGCTAATTCATTTCAATATATGACAAAAACCACTGCAATCTTGTAAAGTAATTCGCTTCCAACTAATAAAAATAAGTGGGGAAAAAAATGCAACATACTATGATACAAAAAAAAATAAAAAATGATAATAGTAAATATATATCTAGGACTTTCTCTGGTGTTGTTGCAGACAGTGTGGGGTCAGTTCATTTTCAGATAGTTCCTTGATCCAGCTTACACTTCCCCTTCCTATGTAGTCAGTGCTAACTGCAGGGTTTTAATCTGTTGCACCTGTCACTTCCAAAGCGGTTCCCTCTGTTTATTTTGGCTTCTGTTTGCTGGCCTCTTCAGTGTCTAATTTCCACCCTGACACAAGGGGGCAGTGGTGGTCACTGTTTTAGGCTCACGTGTTCAGTCGGGCTGTGGGGAGGGAGGAGCACTGCAAACATACATCACTGGCATGTGCTTGCAGTGTCTGGGCCACACTGGGTTTGCCCCCGCTCACCACGTGTGTGCTTTCCCGTCTACACTGCTCAGGCTCCAGGTTGCTCTGCCGGGAACTGTCTGAAGCCGGCCCTGGGTTGCATGCACTTCCCAGGTCTAAGCCGCTCAGGTTCAGGTTCTCGGGTACTCCACAAAGGCGCAGACTTGAATGGGCCCGCGTTTTGTACCCTTCCCAGGTCCGGGCCGCTCAGGTGGCCAGGTGTTTGGCCAGCGCGGTCGCTGAGACTTATCCCTTCCCCCGTCCTAGCCCTGGGTTTTCTGGGTGTACAAGGAGCGCGCCTTCTCAGGTAGGCTGTGTGTCTCTTCTGGGGAGCTGATCTCTGGCTGCGACCCTCCCGGCGGATGTCAACCATCCAGAGTCCCAAGGAGTCTTGGTTAGCAACGAAGCCTGCTTGCAGTCTGGTAAATGATGCCTCTCTAGGGACGTGATTGCCCTCTTCGGGCTCTGGCTGCCCTGGCCTGCCTGTCTCCGGCAGGGGATGGGCCGGTCCGCAGCCGGCTAGCTCTGCTCAGTCCTTTGCTCTGTGAGCGGGCCTGGCGGTGTCTTAGGTTAGGGCTTTTGGCGGGATAGCTATCCCACAGTCTGGGTTGCTGTCTCTAGTTAGTTCCCTCAGATTGCCCTCGGGCCATTCAGGCCCGGTCCTTGGTCCTTACCCTAAGCAATGCAGCCCGTGCCTCCCTGTCCAGTCCCTGCTTGCTAGTGGCAGATGCGAGCGTCTGCACTGCTTCTCCGCTGGGAGTTGCCTTTAGGCACGTAATCTGTGGGTTTTAATTATTTACTTGTTTTTTCCTCCTGGTTATGTTGCCCTCTGAGGTTCCAAGGCTTACCACAGATTCGCCAGTGAGAGTGTTTCCTGGTGTTTGGAAACCTCTCTTTTTTAAGATTCCCTTTCCCGGATGGATCTCCATCCCTACCTCTTTTGTCTCTCTCTTGATCTTTTATGTTTTTTCCTACCTCCTTTCGAAGATAATGGGCTGCCTTTCTGGGTGCCCGATGTCCTCTGCCAGCATTCAGAAGTTGTTTTGTGGGATTTGATCAGCGTTCCAATGTTCTTTTGATGAATTTGTGGGGGAGAAAGTGGTCTCCCTGTCCTATTCCTCCACAATCTTAGGACCGCCGTCCCCGCCCCCCACCCACCTGCCCTCACTGTTCTGATCACCCATATGATCTGAACACACTGGCCTGCTGGGGCCAGATGATGCCAAACCATGAATGTGCCAGTCCTCAATCCAAACCTGTATGTCAGTGATACAGGATGTGGCCAGGATTCTGGCAACAGATAACCACCCTATTCAGTCCCAGAGCAAAGGGATAAGACATTAACCTGTTAAAATTGTCACTAAAACCAGGTTAAGGGAAACTGTGCATCTAGATTTAATTTATTCTACTTTTTTTTAAATAAAAAGAAGCCAATTATTTTTAAATTTGTTTAGTGTTTTTATTGAAGTATAATTGATTTACAGTGTTGTGCCGATCTCTGCAGTACCTCGAAGTGACTCACTTATCCCCATATAGAGGTTCTTTTCTTATATTCTTTTCCATTATGGTTTATCACAGGATAGTGAATATATTAATAGTTCCCAGAACTATACAGTAGGACCTTGTTGTTCATCCACTCTATATGTAATAGTTTTCATCTGCTCATCCCAAACTCTCAATCTATCCCTCTCCACCCCTCTCCCTCTTAACAACCACGCCTGTCCTCTATGTCTGTGAGTCTGTTTCTGTTTTATCGACAGGTTCATTTGTGCCATATTTTAGATTTAGCATATCAGTGATATATGGTATTGATCTTTGTGACTTACTTCACTTAGGATGATAATCTCTAGATCTATCCATGTTGCTGCGAATGGCATTATTTCATTCTTTTTTATGGCTGAGTAGTATTCCATTGTATATTTATACCACATCTTCTTCTTCCATCAGTCTGCTAATGGACATTTAGATTATTTCCATGTTTGGTCTATTGTAAATTGTGGTGCTATGAACATAGGGGTGCATGTATCTTTTTGAATCACAGTTTTGTTCAGGTATATACCCAGAAATGGGATTGCTGGATCATATGGTAGTTCTGTTTTTAGTTTTCTGAGGAAATTCTACCCTGTTTTCCATAGTGACTGCAGCAACTTCCATTCCCACTGAGAGTGTAGGAGGGTTCCCTTTTATTCACCCTCTCCAGCATTTGTTATTTGTAGACTTTTTAATGATGACCATTCTGACTGGTGTGATGTGGTACCTCAGTATAGTTTTGATTTGCATTTCTGTGATAATTAGTAATGCTGAGCATCTTTTCAAGTGCCTACTGGCCATATATATGTCTAAAGAAGCCAATTACTTTTAAATATAAAATTGTATACATAGAAAGTACACAAATTCTTTTAAAGACCCTAATTAAAGTGTGAGTATGTTTTACAATATGGTAATTCTTTATCAGGAAAAGCTTTATTTCAAAATGCAAGAAAATGTTCATGTTGAGTGAGTATAACTAAGACATGAAGAGCAATCACTGTTGTTAATACAACACGATTCCTATATAATGGCTTTTCTCATCATGTGCTCCATGAACTTCCTGCAGCAGGAGGTACTTATTTAGGAAATGCAGATTCCTGGGTCCCACCTACACCCTAAATCCAGATTTCTTGTCATGGCACCATGAAATATGACTTTGTAACAAGCTCCCAGGCAATAATGATGACATGGAAGTTTAAGAATCACTGGCATATAAGGGATACTTTGCTTTGTATCTGCTCATATCTTATTGGTAGCCTGTTTGTTTTAAAATTGTTCTTTAATCCTCTGGTCCTTAAACGTACTTCTTGTTTCTTTCTTGCAAGTAGCATCTTCCTGGAGCCCTGAACCCTCTCAGGCGTGCAATTTTTGTTTCCTGACGCATCCGGATGACCTCAGTATTCTCTCCTGCTAAGTCAGGACACGTGCCTATTGGCTTGCTTCATGTTTTCCTTACTTTTTCCTCAGCACCCTGTCTCAGGCAGTTTATCAGGACATATACGCCCTACTTTCCATTTCATTGTACTGATTTTTTTCCTCTCTGAATAACTCCATGTGATGAGCACTGACAATGTACTTAGAACCATGATAAGTGCTTTATTCACTCCTTAAAGTCATCACAACAACCCTGTGAAATAGACACTATTACCATGACTATTTCCACGATTAAAGTGACTGACCTCCAAAAGTTCTGGGGTGCAGCAGGATGAGAATCCCCATCTCACGCCTTCTGAAGCCCCACCCTACATCCTTACCACATCGCCTCTCAGTTGGGGATGTTTTTGTCCTTGTTCAGCAAAATGAGATGATAGAGAATTGGTATCTCCTATGGTCTTAATGTATCCCAACTATGGAATATTTGGTTTTAATAAAGAGCACTAACACAGAGATTCTCTCCTAGCAGCATCAATATTCCAATGAAGATTACATGTTTTATACAATCTCTTTATCCCATTTTGTAATGGCCTGGAATAGTATGTTTTCTAAAGCCTTTTTCATTTTGGAGGCTCTGGTTTTGTATTTCTTTTTTTTTTTTCCATTTATTTTTATTAGTTGGAGGCTAATTACTTTACATCATTGCAGTGGTTTTTGTCATACATTGAAATGAATTAGCCATGGATTTACATGCATTCCCCATCCCGGTCCCCCCTCCCACCTCCCTCTCCTTTGTATTTCTTAAGAAGGAAACAGTAGAGATCTAAGATTCCATTAAAACCGGACACATGAATGATCTCCCCAAAGCATAAATGAGAATTTAAGATACATACCTTTGGCCCTCCGGGCCCCTGAGACCCCCTCTGGCCTTGATTTCCTTTGCTCCCTTTCTTTCCTTCATCTCCCTGACAAAAAGAAATTATAAAAATACAGTTGTTTTATAATACATCCACCTCCTTCTTATAGCAACTACATCATGGCCAGACTCTCAGTGCATACCAGCTTCAAAGTCATGTTCCCCAAGCCCAGCTCAGTTGCACAGGGTCTGTCAAAGTTCTTGTGCAGATTACATGACTTCAAAATTGTCTAGACTGCACCATTTACTCAGTATGATTTAACACTTCCTAAACTCTATGTTCAGTATCTTTCCTTGGAGACTTTGATTTGACTTTACAGTTCCTTTGCCCTCTTGGTCTATTTAAGTAGTGGTTCTGAGACAGTAACAGTTTCAAAGAAGAAAGCCATCTATGCTTTTCCATGCTGTTTTTCAGAGTCTGTGCTATTTCAGTTTTGAAACATAAAATGAGACATTTAAAAAATTATCCCTGGTTCTTCCTCCATGGAGTTTAATTCTTTCTGCCCAAGGAGGCCAATAATTCAATTGGTAGAAAGATGAGTGAGCATTAACCTGGCACAGAGCTACAAATTGCCTCGTGTTACCCAGCAGGGTTGTGTACACCAGTGCTTCCTGCCAGAGAATTTTATTACCTTCAACCAGAAGCCTCAGAGCATCCCAGAACTATCCTTATCCTAGGGCTCAACTGCAAGGCACCATAGCTAAGCATGTGTGCAGCCCAACAAAAGAATTCCTTGGGGTGTGTAGCTGAAAGCGTTAGTCACTCAATTGTGTCTGACTCTTTGTGACCCCATGGGCTGTAGCCCACCACGTTCCTCTATCCAAGGGATTTTTCAGGCAAGAATACTGGAGTGAGTAGCTATTCCCATCTCCAGGGGATCTTCTGGACCCAGGAATTGAACTTGGGTCTCCTGCATTGCCAGCAGATTCTTTACCATGAGGCTGTCCAATATTTATGACATAAATGACTATACCACCATTTTCAAACCTGAACATGCATAAGAATCACCTGGAGATTTCTGGGCCCCCCATCCACAGTTTCTTATTTACTAGGTCTGTAGTGGAGCCCAATAATTTACATTTCTGACACATTCCCAGGTGACGCTGACACTGCTGTTCCAGGGGCTGCGCCCTGAGAACCACTGGCCTATACCAAGGTCATCAGCAATGCAGACACTCCACTAAGAAGAGCGACCTACAGAATCCACAAACATGCAGACAGCTCCCTAGTACCCATACTGATTGAGAGCCGAGATGGCAGATAATTTAAAAAACTGTTGAATATCCAAGTATCACTTATCATGTCATTATCATCTGCCAATAGCATCGAAATCTACCCCAGCTATTTATGTTCTCCCCTTCACTACCATATTTAACTTATTTACCTAAATGATCCCAGAAACCAACAGCAGTGTGTGTGTGTGTGTTTAGTCACTCAGTCATGTCTGACTCTTTGCAACCCCATGGACTGCAGCCTGCCAGGCTCCTCTGTCTATGCAGATTCTCCAGGCCAGAATCCTGGAGTGGGTTGCCATGCACTCCTCCAGGGGATCTTCCCAACCCAGGGGTCAAACCCAGGTCTCCCACATTGCAGGCAGATTCTTGACCATCTGAGCCATCAGGGAAACCCAGATCCACCTAAATGTAATAAAGTGCCAGCACTGTGCACTGCCTACTTCAATACATAACATATTCCTACCTACCACTCTTCTCCAATATATAGCCTTCTACAAGCCCCATATCACCTCAACACCAGAAATCCAGTTAGCGCATGTTTTCCTTGCTCTGCTGGTGTATTTGACACCACCCATTGCTTTCTTCTTGAAGCCCTTTCTCCTTGGTTCCCCTAACATGGTACTCTGTTATTCAGCCTGTCTTCATGCTGTACAGAATGCTCTCTTTCCAGCTGCTATAAAATGCAGGATTCCAACCTTAGCTCTTTTTCTCAGAGTTGTCTTTCATCCCCACAGCTTCAATTATTAGCTCAAAGGGTCTATTTTCCAAAAGTATATTCAAGGAAACATTAGTTCTCCTGAATGTTAATAGGCAATCATTTCTAAAAGTATTTTTTGCATGATGTTAAAAAGGAATTCTCTATGCATGTTTCCACTCCCTGCTGCCCACTGTGCCCCCCCCCCCAAAAAAAGATCTCATAGTCTGGTTAGTCAGTTTTAAATTTTAAGTGTTTGAAATGCTACAAATACAGTTATATTTCAAATTCTCATGTTTAAGGCCAATATTTTCCATAATACATAGACATCTAAGCTATCAATTACTATTTTAATAGAATTAAAAATAGAACACTAGTAGGTATATGGATTTTATTTTTACCTTACTCATATATAATTCTTCAGGATATTTATATGGGCATTGATGACTGCACCTAAGAACTGTAGTAATATCTGACACCTTAGAGGTTGTAGGTTATGGTCTTATTGATGAGTTTGGGTATTTTCATCTTGACATCTAAAGATATTATTCAACAAGCATTTCTAAAATGTGTTAAATAAATCTATGCCATGTTGTGAAAGTGCCACTTCATAAGGTTATATTTCTTACTACTCTATGAGATTCTATAAATATTTGAAAAAACATTATGGACTTTGATGTCTCAAGGATGTATCTCAAGTTCTTTCCCCTTACTGTGTGTGTTTTTTAAATGTCAACTTGGCTGTTTACTAAGAAAATATGTGTCGAACTCTTCCTATAAGCTTGGTTTTGTGACAGATGTTAGGAAAATGGAAATAACTAATACATACTCGCTGTCTACAAAAGCTAGCGTCCATAATTTTAAGCCAGAAGTAGACATCTTTGACACAGCAACACTAACGTCAGATTGCTCCTAAGCTGGCTCCTCACCCTGAAGCCCAGAGCCCAGGCAGCCCGCTCCCCGTGCCCCACCGCTGGGCTCCATACCTTGAGGCCCGGCTGTGCTTTCCCAGGCGGCCCTTCCGGACCTCTTGCCCCCGGAAGCCCCGCCTCTCCCTGCAGGAAACGATACCCACGGCTTAGCTGATCCTCCACGGCCACCATGAACGCACCCGCCTTGTCTCTCCTCACAGCCAGCAGTCTCTGCTTGGGTCCGCCAGTACAGAAAAGACCTTCACGCTAGCCTCAAAATTAATTTGGAAGTTTACCAACATGAAAATAAATTAATATCAAACTTCAGTTTAGCTCAGAGCAGCTGAAATATCATGGAAAAGTCCAATTTCCCAGCCAGTTGCCAAAGCAATAAGCTCACTTTCTTTTGGCTCTTCATTCACATTCAGTGGTTTGTTTTTTGAAAAAACAAGAAAGACCTTCAGCCTTACCATCTGCTGTTTTTCACTACTTATGTTGAAAAATGAGTATTTCAAATGTCAACTCAAAATATTTCAGGAAATCTTTATAATGGCCTTACTTCCTGAATACATTTACAGACTTTCCTTTTTGGAGGAGAGGGAAAAAGCCTTTTTCTCAAAGTTTAAATAAAAGTGCTTTCTAGGAATCCCAAAGGGAGTAGGTCACTGGAACACCATGGCCAAAATGCCAGAGAAAAGGCAGAGGTCTTAAGATACTTAGGCTTTGAATTGGTGCTCTTTTATCTGAACTAAGTGAAAAAGGATATTTAGAGTTGTGGGATTTTATTTTCTTAAAGAGACTAAGTTCATCTTGAATGGTTTCATTTGAGCTCTTGCAGGACCAAGATATATGTGGTTTAATAGTTTTATTCCAATAATATGGAAAACAGTGTTACCTTCTTCCCTGCAGCTCCATCTTCTCCTGGTACTCCTGGCTGTCCTGGGAGCCCTATTGAGCCTGGCTCCCCCTGGTGGATGAGGAGAGATTTTTATTTCCCAGAAGCTCACATTTATCATGGAACCTCACTTTAAGGTGCTTGCAGTGGGATGCATATTATTATAACATCTGAGAAAAGCCTCGGAGCAGGGAAATCTGAATAGTAATTAACAGTCATTAAGCTACTTGACCTTGGGCGAGTTATTTAACATCTCCAGATCTCAGTTTTGGATTATGTTGTTTATTATGGGTTGAACTGTGACCAGCTCCCTCCCCCAAAAGGTATGTTGAAGTCCTAAACCTTGGCACCAGTGAATGGACCTTGTTTGGTAATACAGTTGAGATGAGGTCATTATTGTGGGTCCTAATCCAGTGTGACTAGTGTCCTTATAAGAGGAAAATATAATGTGGAGACAGACATGTAGGGAGAACCCCATGTGACAAGACAGCCAAGAGTAATGTAGCTACAAGCCAAGGAATGCCAGGGATTGGCCACCACCAGAAGCTAAGAGGCAGAGGAAAATTGTCCCTGATAGGTTTTGGAGGACGTGTGGCCCTGCAGACACCTTGATTTTTTACTTTCAGCCTCTAGAACCGTGAGAAAATAAATTTATGTTATGTTAAGCCACACAGTTTGTGCTAATTTGTGACAGCAGCCCTAAAAAAAAACTAATATAAAAATGAGATGAAATAATTGAGACCCAAACATTGCTTCCCACTGTAAAATTGAATTATTATACCCACCTTCAAGTCAATTTATAATTTAAGTCCTTTAAAATGTTCAGAGAAAACACATGCTGCTATCAAACAGTACATCGTTGTCCTTTGTTGTTTAGTCATGTCTGACTCTTTTGCAACCCCATGGACTGTAGCCTGCCAGGCTCCTCTGTCCATGGAATTCTCCAGGCAAGAGCACTGGAGTGGGTTGCCATTTCCTTCTCCAGGGAAATGTGTCCTTACTGCAAAAAATATTGAAAATAATGGGAAATCATTTCAACTAAACTCAACTTTAAAAACTAGTGAAAAAAGCACAGTGAACCTAAAAGTAAACAGTAGTGGTGGTAGCAATAGTCGCTCAGTCATCTCCCACTCTGCAACCCCAGGGACTGTAGCCCACTCGGCTCCTCTGTGCATGGAATTCTTCAGGCAAGAACACTGGAGTGGGTGGCCATTTCCTCCTCCAAAAGTAAATAGTGAAAGTGAATGTTAAGTCGCTCAGTCCTGTCCAACTCTTTGCAACCCCAGGGACTGTAGCCCACCAGGCTCCTCTGTCCATGGGATTCTCCAGGCAAGAGTACTGGAGTGGGTTGCCATTTCCTTCTCCAGGGAATCTTCTCAACCCAGGGATCGAACCCAGGTCTCCTGCATTGCAGGCAGACGCTTTAACCTCTGAGCCAATCCTCTTCCCAAAAAAAGTAAATAGTAGGATATAATAAAAATGACAGAAAATCATAAACTTACTAGCAAAAAGCAAGAAGAGTAACAAAATTAAAAGGTAATAAAAACTTAAAAATACTAAGAAAATAAATAAATGTCTAACTGTAATGATAAATATTTGTAAAAGAAAAGGCATTAAAAAAACAATATTAGGAATGAAAGGTGAATCTATATACATAGTAAAATTTATTAATTATAGAAAATTTCTGTGATAATCTCAAATATATTGGAAACATTAATACATGGATAGTCTTTAAAAAATATATAAATTACATAAATGGCATAAGAAGGAATGGACAAGCTAAATAAACCAATGTGATTAAATAAATTCAGTCAGTAATTCCAAGTCTGGAACTTCCTCTCCCTCCAGGATCACAGGCTTAGTTGACTTTCCAGTCAAACCTTACCAAATTTTTAAACATCTGAAGGACAGATATCCCCTCTCTTCTTTCTAAAACATAGAAAAAGAGGGAACTCTATCCAATTTATTTTATGAGACTAATAAAACTTTGATTTAAAAAACCATACAAGATAGGAAAACTAAATTATAGACCAGTCTACCTAAGAAAAACATTCCAACTTAAGGTTCTCATGTAAATGTAAAAGTATGTGTGTGTGTGTATGTGTGTGTGTTGCTCAGTCATGTCCAACGGTTTGTGACCCCGTCGACAGTAGCCTGCCAGGCTCCTCTGTCCATGGATTCTCCAGGCAAGAATACTGGAGTGGGTTGCCATTCTCTTCTCCAGGGGATCTTTCCAACTTAGGGGTTGAACCCAGGTCTCCTGCATTGAGGTGTATACTTTACCATCTGAGCCACCAGGGAAGCCTTGGAGGGGTAGGAACTAGATTTAACCTCCCACCTGATGCAACTAAAAAAGCAATAACAAAATATATGAAACAATGACATTCATGCTACAGTTTCCCAAGTTTACTATCCGGATAAAGTTTCCAGGCCATTGTCCAGGGAGAGAGAATCCAGGGCAAGTCCAGAAGTCTCTCTAATTTAAGGAGACAAAGGTGGGAGTCTGGGCAAGCCAAGATATCAGAAATTCACAAAATAGATTACCAGAGAGGAGGGAGTGACATAAACAGAACTATAAAGATCTACGGGCATCCCCCTTGAGTATTTAGGTGGATACTGTTCAGCGCAGAGTGAAGAAATTACCCCAGGCTATGAAAACAACCACTTGAAAGGATCAGAGAACTGATAGCAGGAAAGATAGGGTGCCTGCTCCCAGTGGCAAGAAAAAATTTCACAGTGCTGAGGGCATAGATGAGTTCTTAAAAGAGTATTGCCTTCGTAGTGGGGGAAAATTAGCCCCAGACTAGATACTGCTCCTGTCCTACCTAATAAATCTTAAAAGCAAGATCAGAATGTTCCAACTGTTTTCAAGTAATGTAGAAGCATCTAAGAAAAGAAGCTCAAAAATATTTATAGGAATACAAAAAATAACTAGCACCTAAAAAGGTAAAATTCACAATGTTTGGCAGATAATCAAAAGCTATTGAGGATTCAGAAAAGCTGCAGAAACATGACGCAGGTAATAGAATTTATGGATAACATTAAGACAGTTATTATACTGCATTCCATATGTTCAGGAAACTAAAGGAAAATTAAAACTTGTTAATAGACATGAAAGATATTGAAGGATACAACTTGAACTTCTAGAGTTGAAAATTGCAAAGTATGAGATAAAAATACACCAGATAGAATTAAAAGCAGATTAGACATCACAGAAGAAAAGATTAACAAACTGAAAGATATAGCAATAAACTCTACTCAAAATGAAACAGTGGGAGGCGGGTTTGGGATGGGGGGACACATGTACACCCATGACTGATTCATGTCAATGTATGATAAAAACCACCACAATATTTTAATTAGCCTCCAATTAAAATAAATAAATTAATTTAAAAAACAAAGACAAAAAGAAACATAAAGAAAATGGACTGAATAAAAATAAGCAGAGCATCAGAGAACTGTGAGAAAACTTCAAGCCTTCAAATTTAAGTGGGAGTTTCCTAGCTAAAGGTTGAGGGTGGGGAATATTTCAAGAAGTGCTAACCTAATATTTTCCAAATTTCATGAAGTCAATAACTCAGAGAACCAAGAAGAACAATGGAATTCAAACATAAGAAATATAAAGAAAATTGAATTAAGGCACATTAGAATCGCATGGCTCAAAGCCAGTGATACAGAGAAAAATCTCAAAAGTAACCAGAGAAAAGAGACATTATGGAGAAGGCAATGGCAGCCCACTTCAGTACTCTTTCCTGGAAGATCCCATGGATGGAGGAGCCTGGTAGGCTGCAGTCCATGGGGTCACACAGAGTAGGACAAGACTAAGCGACTTCACTTTCACTTTTCACTTTCATGCATTGGAGAAGGAAATGGCAACCCACTCCAATACTCTTGCCTGGAGAATCCCAGGGACGGGGAAACCTGGTGGGCTGCAGTCCATGGGGTCGCGAAGAGTCAGACAGGACTGAGCGACTTCACTTTCACTTTTCACTTTCATGCATTGGAGAAGGAAATGGCAACCCACTCCAGTGTTCTTGCCTGGAGAATCCCAGGGGCGGTGGAGCCTGGTAGGCTGCTGTCTATGGGGTCGCAGAGAGTCGGACACGACTGAAGCGACTTAGCAGCAGCAGCAGTGAGAAAAATGTATAGATTACAACAGATTTCTCATCAGAAATACTGCAAGTGAGAAGACAGTGGACCAACATGAAAGTACTGGGGGGAAAAAAAGGGAGACTTTCCTGGTGGTCCAGTAGCAAAGACTCTGAGCTCCTATGTAGGGAGCTTAATTCCTGGTCAGGAAACTAGATCCCACAGGCTGCAACTAAGACCTGGTACAGCCAAATAAATAAATATATTTTTAAAAAAATTTTTTAAGAAGAAAAAGCCATCAGTATAGAATTCTATACCCAGTGAAAATATAGACAGAATGCAGACTCTTTTGGAAACCAATTTAACAGTTACTTGAAAAGCTAAATAGATACTTATTATATGACCCAGCTATTTCACTCCTAGGTTTTTACCCCCAAAAAAGGAAAACATATGTCTGTACAAAGACATGTACATAAATATTCATAAGAGCTTTATCTATAATAAAAAGCTGGAGAAAACCAAATTGTCACTAAGAGGTGAATAGATGACAAAACTGCACTATATACATACAATGGAGTTCTATTCAGCAATAAATAAAAACAAATTATTATATATGTTAAACACAGACTTCAAAATAACTTCCTGAGTGAAAAAAGATTGGAAAAAAATGTATAGTAAATTATGCTACTTATATGAAATTCTAGGAAATGTAAACTAATCTCTGATAACAGAAAGCAGAAATCAGTGATTACCAGATGATAGGAAAGCAGATCTACAGAAAACAGATCAATAAAGATAGGAGACATTAGGGAGAGATGAAAGGATGATATTACAAATAAATACATAATAATTTATTATGTGGTGATAGATGCTTTTATCATCCTCAAGAACATATATATCTAGATATAGATATATATACACACACCTATGTCAAAACTTACCAAATTGTACACTTTAGTCATGTGCTTTTATTGTATGTTAGTCACGCAATAAATATAATTATTTAAAGTGAGTGCACAAATCCTGAATAAAAGATTAATCAATTGAATTATTGTTATTAAAAATATACATCATAAACAATTGAGTTTATCTCAAAGAATGTCAGGATGTTTCAACATCTCAAAAATCTTGAAATGTAATAGTAACAAATTAAAAGAGAACAATAATATGATTATCTTAGTAGATGAAAAATCTGGTAAAATCCAATACTCACTTATGACTAGTAAGCAAATTTTGGTACAACTGAAATAGAGAATCGCCTTAACCTAATAGTATCTGTCAAAAACCTACAGCAAATGTCACATTTAAAAGTGAAATTTTAGGAGCACATCCACTTCCTTTAAATATTGCATTGGGGATCCTAGCAGTATAAAATGGTAAAAAGTGAATAAGAAAAAGAACTGGAAAGGAATAGGCATAATTGTTTTTATTTTTAGACAATATGCCTATGTTCACAAGGAGTAAAAAAGCAAGAGACTTTACAATTAGAAATAAAAAATTATATCGAGTGAGTGGATACAGAAATCAATATAGCAAAATAAGACAATAACAAGACAGTATTTTCCCTATAGACACATTATAGTTAATTGAAAAGTACAAAAAAAGGAAACAATTCACAATCATAAAAATTTACCCAAGGTACCTTTTTAACTAAAAAAAGTAGAAGATGTTTATGGATAAAATGAAAACTATTTTTGTGAAAAAGTAGAGAGTTTTACTCTATGGTTTGAAAGACTCAATGTTTAATTTGAAGTTTCAGTTCAATTTCAAAAACTCCAATGGAATATTTTGTCAAATTTGACAAGCCATTTCTAAAATGTATATGCTAGAACCAAGAATAGCCAGGGAAGAAGATGAGAGTATTTTCCCTATGGATGATAAAGCATTATAAATCTGTCATAATCCAGACAGAGAGATAGTAGCACTGAGAGATATTAATAGGCAAATGGAGTGGCATAGATTAGTGGCATCACTCAGGCACTGATACTCACACATATGGAAATTTGATACATAGCATTGGAGGTATTACAAGTCAGTGTGGCGATTTAATAACTGATGCTAGGATATATGGTTATCATATAGGGAAAAATAGATTCCTTACCTTGCCCTAGCCACAAAAATAAATTCCAAGTGTATTAAAGACGTAAATTTTAAAAAGTAAAACACCAACACTTTCAAAAGAAAATATGTTAAAATATATTACGACTTTGGGTTCAAGAAATGTTTTAAAATAATATTCCAAAAACTAAAACCATAAAAGGATAGAAATACATCAAAATCGAAAACTTCTATGCAGTGAAAAGCACTCTAAGTGAAAAAGATAAGCCATATCTTAAGCTATGAGAGGAATATTCAATATCCAAAAAGTGAGTATCTACAGGAATTTATAAAAAAGAAAAAGTAAGGTCCATTAAGCAGTCAAAAACTGTTCAGTTAGTTATCAGGGAATAAGAACTGAACCAATGAGATGTATTTTTTTTACACATTTCACACTGGCAAGAATGTAGCGAAAAGGGCATTGCTATCTGTTGCTGGAAGGAGGGTAAACTGGTTCAAACACTGTACCCATTGTTTCTTTGGGGCAGGCTTTTCACAATATGAAAATTGAAAACTTGTATACTCTGTGATCTTCCAGTTCACAGCAATCTGTCATCTACTGATCGGAGAAATTTATATCCTTACACAAGACAAAACCCAGAGAATGTTTATGGCAGCATTATTGGCAAACGCACAAAATAGAAAGTAATTTAAACGTCTATCAGTAATGAAGTATTCTTATGCAGTGTCATGTCATAAAGCAATTAAACTGAATCAAAGGCATGTAAAACCACAACACATAAGGCTAAATATAAATATATTGCCAAATGATATATTATGTAAAGTTCAAGAATACAAAAAAGCAATATATGGCTTATGAATAAAATTGTGGGAGAATCATATAAACTTTGAAAGACTGATAAACAATAATTCATGATAATGATTATGTCTGGGGAGGGAAAGGGGGACAGCAGAATTGGGGAGCACAGACAGAGACCTTCAGCTATGTCTATAATACTTCTTTAAAACATTTTAGAATACATGTGGCAAAATGTTGATATTTGATAAAGCTGGGTTGTGGGATACATGGATGTTCTTTGTTATTCTCTACAATAGGGAGTATATTTTAAATATTTCATTTTTTAAAATTAGAGAAGCTTAAGGTTGCATATCTATTTAGTGCAAGATTGGGATTTGAATTCAGGTAGTCTAAGTGCCTCATAGTCTTGCTAACCTATATGGCCCCTCTGAAATTGGCATTAAATGACATAATATGTATATATACACATATATACTAGAGACATGTATAGACATAAAAATATATATATGTGTATAGATATATATGTACATGGCATATTTAGTACTTAGCACATTATGTGACAAAGCCAAACCATTCAGCAAATGGCAGCTATTATCACTATATTTGTATATTTTTTGTCTCTTGCAATTATATGTTTATGTATATGAAACTTGTATATATTTGTCTTAGACTGTATCTTACATATTATTTTAATACCCACACTCTCTTAAGAATCATGACTGTGACTTCAGAACAATGATGGCTTTTAACCCTCAGCATGGCTTGCCAGATTCTAGATGCCTTCAGGATGAGTTCTAGAAATTGTGAAGGGTAAAACAAGGATTCGTTTATTATTCAACAGCACTTATTGAGTACCTATTGTGTCCCTCAAACTGAGGATTCAGTAATAAAGAAGAAAAGGAAACAAAGTCTCTGCCCCAGTGGAGTAGTACTGTTCAGTGGAAATATAGAGCAAGCCATATATGTAATTATAATTTGATTAATAGCCACATTTACAACTTTAAAAGAAAGAGATAAAGACAATTCTAATAATATATTTTACTTAATACATCTGAAATTTTGTCATTTCAACATGTGCTCCATATACAAATATATTGATCATATAGTTTACATTGATTTTTTGTACCAAGCTTTGTAATCCAGAGTGTAGAATACCTTTGTGGCACCCCTCAGTTCATACCAGCCACATGTCAAGTATTCGGTAACGCCATGTGGCAAGTGCCTGCTGTTTCTAGAGGGCAGTGCATTTCTAGAGGGTGTAATTCAAAAAACATGCAAGTTAAGTGGTAAAATCAAGGGAACAAACAGCGTGCTTTTAAATAACTGGGTAACAATAGTGGGGAGAACATACTTTAGGTTTAGTACATGAATTTTGAGGAAGTATCTTTTTAGTTGAGACCTGAAGAATAAGGAGCCAGCCACAAAACAAGAGAAGGGAAGTAAGCTTTACTGAAATTCTACGAAACTTCTATAATACGGCAGGCAACAATGTCCTTAAAGAATCACTCTGAAAACGGTGAGAGAGGACTTCTAATGCTAGTGAGTTAATAACAGAAACATAGTTGTCATTAAAATAAACTACTATTTTGGCTCTTCTTAAACCATATGACTTGAGCATCAGACTCTTTTCTGAATAAATAATCGCCTCTGGATATAAATGAAGCTTTCTATAATATGACATAAATACCTCCAACTAGCTTAGACAACTCACCTTTGGACCTTGTAGTCCAAGTCCCATTGGTCCTCTAGGGCCTGTAGGGCCCATCTGGCCAACTTCTCCCTAGTGAGGAAAGAAGAGTATTTGACTCTAGCACCAAAATAAAAATAACATATACCTGCCTTTGACCTCCTAAGAGCAAAACATATCAGCAAAATAAGATAAACCTGAGTTTCATAGGCTCCATTCCCATATGTGTGTATATGCATTTATCTATTCAAATACAGATATATTTCAGGCAAATATATATATGTACATATATATGTATATATGGTCTGATTTAAAAGACAGGCTGTGCATAATACTCAAAATTGACTTTGAGTCCCCAAGAAGGGCACCTGGAAAAGATCGGCAGTTATAACCCACAAGCAACTATAATTGACACGAGAGACCAAGATCACTGCTGACCCAAAGCAGTATCGTAACCAGAGAGAACAACCTGAGCTTTCACTATTGAGCTCAAATCAGAAATTTCAAGGACAGTCACTGTATTCTATTGAGCTACTTCTCACAAGGGACTCTCAAAGGAATCTACTGAAAGGAAGGTACTCTCAGAGAAGTGTAGTGAAAGTCGCTCAGTCATGTCCGACTCTTTGCGACCCCATAGACTATACAGTCCATGGATTCTCCAGCCCAGAATACTGGAGTGGGTAGCCTTTCCCTTCTCCAGGGGATCTTCCTGACCCAGGGATTGAACTCAGGTCTCCCACATTGCAGGCAGATTCTTTACCAGCTGAGCCACAAGGGAAACACTCAGAGAAGTGTTTATGTAATAATGCTTAGTGATTCTTTGAGAAGGAAATGGCAACCCACTCCAGTGTTCTTGCCTGGAGAATCCCAGGGATGGGGTTGCACAGAGTCGGACATGACTGAAGTGACTTAGCAGGAGCAGGAGCAGTGATTCTTTGAAGCAACATTAGGAACAGCTGGTTAAACAGTGTCATGCCTCTCCCCAAAGGATAAATAATTTAAAAGATAAATTGCCTCCCCGTTCATAGAAAACTTTTACTGGCTAGGTTATTTCCAACTCCATATCTCTAAACATTTTGGTTGTTGGACCTACTGTGGGGTCATTGGTGAGAATAAAAACTAGCCAACCCACAGTAACCTCTACTGACATTACTGCTTGAGTTGCTCGAATAGGGTCTCACAAGTAAAAGTAATAAAAACAATAAATTAAGATGTGTAAGTATAGTCTGCCTCCTCGGTAGCCACCGGTTCCACATTTGTGGATTTGAAAGAGTCCCCATAAAATTAAGTCCCTCTGCTGAGTTTGTGATTAGCCTCTCTATCCAAAACTTGATTCCCTTTCTTGTCTGCCCTGTTCCCATTAGGATTAAGAAGTATCAAAGAAAAGGGGGGATTGGAACTGAGCAGGACCCTGTGGACCCTTCCTAGGTTCAAAGCTCCTCCATTTCCCCCACTTCTTGTTTGTAGATAAAGACTTGAGTCGCCTGGGCCTTCCCTGAGTTTCAAAGAGCAGGCACAGGCAGTTACTAATTAGGGAAGTGAAGGAATGCAGAAACAAAGGAAAACCAATTAAACAAGAAAAGTAGTGACAATAGTTCAGTGATAAAGCAGTTCCTTCTCTTTAGGAACTTTAAATCTTAAGAACTGACATAACAATCTGATGGATATGTCTGAGTTGTTCTTTAAGAACTAAGATCCTCCTCCATTACCTGCCTCTTGCTTGTAGAAGCTAAGCGTCTCTGACTCCATATTGTACCTATCTGTTCTGCTGCTTTAATCGCTGAGCCATGAGCTTCTGCTCAGGTCTGCATGTAGACTTGTTAATTACTAAAGGGGTTCTGCTTGCAGATTACAGGTTGTGCAAACTTACCTCACATGATATAAGAAAGTATGAACAAAAATATCGATTGTCTTGTCAAGATTTATAGGAACATCAGGACCAGACTCAGGTCAACTGACCAAGAACAAAATGTTATCACAACTCTCCTTGGACCATCACTGTGGTCGTCCTTCTCTTCTTGATCTTAACCCCTTCCAGCTCCCCCCTTCCTTAACAATAAAGAAGCTTGAATTCTATCCCAAATTAGGATGGTTCTTTAGAACATTAGTGCACCATCTTCTCAGTTTGTTTGCTTTCTGAAAAAAGTTGTTCCTCTCCCCAACACTGTGCCTCTCGACTTATTGGCCCTTCATGCAGCAAGTGGTATGAGCTTGGACTCTGCTACAGTTTAACCAACCTTGGTTGGAAAATACTCAGGAAAGAAATTTCAAAAATTTCCAAAAGCAAAACCTGAATTTGCCACATGCCAGCAACTACATGCTTTGTAACATTTACAATGTATTTGGTATTAGAAGTTGTCTAGAGATGATTTTTAGTTCACGCATTGGAGAAGGAAATGGCAACCCATTCCAGTGTTCTTGCCTAGAGAATCCCAGGGACGGGGAAGCCTGGTGGGCTGCCGTCTATGGAGTCACACAGAGTCAGACATGACCGAAGCAACTTAGCAGCAGCAGAGATGATTTTTAAAATACAGGGAGATATGACTAGATTAAGGGACTGGAGCATCCTAAGATTTTAGTATGGGGAAGGGAGTGGGAATCCTATAATCAGCCTTCCACCGGATGCCAGGGGACAAATGTGAAAGCTTCTAAGAGCATAAAGAACGCACATTACATTTTCTAAACCATTAGGAATATCAGTAGCATTTTGCATTAAATAGAGATCTCTGATGTTGAAGTTCATCCCCTTTGCTGCCATCCAAATGCACTGGTCACTGACCAGAAAGCAACAGCTAGAAAATAGGTTAAATTCTTTTCTCATTTAGAAAGTTACCTTGGGACCAGGTAAGCCTTGTCCTGGGGGACCCTGTGGACCAGGTGGGCCAATAGGACCTTGGATTCCCTTTAAAATAAAATTTAAAGAATAATATTAGTGAAATTAAGAAGGAATTTAAACAAGAGAAGTTTCAAATCCTCTGAAGTAAAAGTTCAGTTCGCATCCCACAGTCGATTACTTGTACTCAATTAATACTTATTGAATGGGTGGCTGAGGCTGCTAGTGGAACCATAATATGCAATTCTACCATTTTTCCATAGTAAGAGTAATTTTAACTGGCCTGCATTTCTGCTTAGAGTAAAAACCACCTTTCCTAATCCCTGTTGCAGTGGATATTGCCTGTATTCTATCCAATGGGATGTGAATGAGGGGATTTGTGCAATTTCTTGTTCACGCTAAAGGAAGGATATGCTTCTGCATCCCTGTTCCCCTCCCCCTTGCTGAAGTGAAGACACGGTGCCTGCCTATCCTGGATCAGGTGGATGGGGAAAGCACTCTTAGAATGTCAGACTAACAAGAAAGAAGAAGCCAGAACCTCCGAAGACCCTAACGAACAGAGACAACACACCAACTTGGAGTTTTAAGCAGGAGAAATGCAGTTTCATCTTATTAACCTATTTCACCTCTCAGTCACATACAGGCAAACCTGTATCCTAGCTGTACCAAGTGATATCTATCATGATGTGAAATTAAAAATTTGACCTAGGCTCTAAGAAGCAAAAGCCTGCAAACACCAAACTGAAGAATGTTCTAATACTTGCCTCCCATTCATATTGTGGGTATAAAAAAGGAGAAGATATAGGATTTAATAAGGTCTTCTCCAGAGAAAACAGTCTCCTAAAGTGTTTTCTTTGGAGAAAATGGGGAGAAGTTTACCACGTTATAGAAAGGGAACATCAATGAAACCACTGGGAGACCTTGATTTTTGTTTCTGGAACACAATGGACCAGTGTCTGACTCGTATGGAAGACAGCTAAAATATGCTCTGATAGCTAAGAGAGGACCAGCATGGGGTGAGCCTGTGCACCCAGAGTTTCTCAGTGCAAAGGCCATGCAAGCTTTTTTTCCTGTGGACCAGATGTACTCTAGATTCCTAGAGTTGGCCTGGAACTGCTTTGATTTCTGTCCAAGAGGACCTGGAAGAATAATGGAACTCCAGCTGAGAGAGTCCATATAGAGTAAATATATTCCCAGAAAAGCAGAGGCTGATGGGGAGAAACAGCTGGAGGAAAAGAGTCCTTTGTCAGTGTCCAGGAGGGGCAGTGCGGAACCCCACCAGGAAGAATGTCAGCATCAAACATCTGTCAAGACCAGAAGACACAAAGCCATCTGACAACAGACCAGCCAAGAAAGAACCTCCATGCCCTTCCCGCCTGATCCCATCCTCCCATCCTTGATTTGGCCTGGGAGGGATCAGAAGTACATTCCATCCCATGGACCACAAGCTCATACAAAATGAATGAAGACTAAAAGGAAAATTCATACATTGACTAAATAGTTTGTATTACACAATTAAAACTGACTTGAAACTTAGAGGCAATCCTATGTATGTGTAGTTGCTCAGTCGTGTCTGACTCTTTGGGGGCCCCATGGACTGTAGCCCACCAGTCTCCTCTGTCCATGGGATTTTCCAGGCAAGAACACTGGAGTGGTTAGTCATCTCCTTCTTCAGAGAATCTTCCCAACCCAGGGGTCGAACCCGCAGCTCCTGCCACATCTCCTTCATTGAAGACAGATTCTTTTACCCCTGAGCCATCATGGAAGCCCAGAGGTGATTCTATGACTCACTGTTACCTCAAAGTGATATGAAAGTCTGTAGCCTGCTGGTAACTTTTTTTCTGTGGTGGGAAAAAGAAAAAACTTTCCCCACTGAAAAAAAATGTGAAGGGATGATGAAAGAAAAACTGAGACTGTTTTATTTATCCCCCACTGGTCACAATTATGCAAATAATGGTTGCAAATACATGATAATTTTGTTACAAATGTGAGCCTATTTTATCCAGCTAGATGATACATCTGCTTGTTCATTTTTAAAGTACAGATATCATTCCCTTTTTCTCTGGCTGATGAAGATGAAGCACTCTGAACAATTTAAGAAAGCTAAGGTTCAGTATTTGTATTGAACCATTAGAAGAAGGGAATCCCTCCTGATTTTTAACAACAGTCTATGAGTACCACGTGAGGATCCAAAAAATTAAAAGGATATCGCATACAGGTGTGTACACATGTATATGTGGTTATTTATATTTCACTTTATTTTATAAGATATTTGAAGTAGTCAAGCCTCCAAATATTTAATGAAAATCTGCAGAAGCCACTTGAGAAAGATTGTAAACATGTTGCTGGAAACAGAAGTTCCCCCAGAAACAGATGAGTGGGAAAATTAATGTCTATAAGAAAAATGAGAAGATTTAACAATAACAGTAATTCAGTGGGTAAGCATGTTATATGAAGGATAAGAAGAAAAATGGGTAGCTGCCCGTGCAGAGGTTAAATTTAAATAGAATATAAATCCTTTGTCTTAAAAGGGTAAACAAGTTTTCTGCTTGTTCATTTTACAAATGACACATTGCATTCAATTTCCTATCCAGTAGGAGTCAGCTCCATACAGTCACATACACCTTGAAAGGTTTTTACTCTTGGAAAAGAAAAGAAGAGGGTGAGAAAGCAAAAGAAGTCAAAGAGGTGTGTGTTTTTTTGTTTTTTTCTTTTCAAGCTGTAGAACAACTTCCACTGAGAAACAGCATCTGAAAAGGCTTGGCTTTCTTTGAATCTCATTTTCAGCCCCACAATGGTGACTCAGTGCCAGAAACAGCATAAAACCCAGGATATAACAGCACTGTCACTTCCAGGATCAGGAACTAGCTGAAACTAGCAAAGAAAATGACAAAGCTTGAGAATGCTTGGTGGCATAGTCAAACCATGATCCTTGTGGAGTCCAAAACCAACAGCTCTTAATTATTATCTAAATATTTATATACAGATTTATCTTGGCTTCTCCTGCACCTTAATCCTCCTGATATATTACACTAGGACTTCTACCAAGGGGAAGGAAATAGAAAAAGGAGTAATATCCAACTTGGCTGTTGCTTGAATTAACAACAAAAAATACTGATTAATTAGCATATAATTAGAAATAAACTCAGAGTTTATGTCAACAATGAGATTCTGAATTATCTCCTTTTCTTATTCTTCTCTCCCTATTCTAGATAAGTGTTCATTGTTCAGTCGTTTCCAACCCTGCAACCCCATGGACTGTAGCCCACCGGATTCCTCTATCCATGAAATTCTTCAGGCAAGAATACTGGAGTGGGTGACCATTCCGTTCTCCGGGAGATCTTCCCAATCCAGGGATAAAACCCGGGTCTCCCACATTGCAGGCAGATTCTTTACCGTTTGAGCCACCCATCCTAGATAAAGGAAGTAATATTTGTTCACTAGGCAATGGAATAATTCAAACCATAATCATAAATTTTAAACTTTTTGCCACTTTCTACACAAGAGGACATTCAAAATAAATTTGGATTTGTCGGTCACTTTGATTAAATGAGATTATATAGGTAGATAGTCATGTTATATTATCTTCATATTATTTCAGCTAAACAAAATTGCCTCGCTTCTTGAAAAGTTATGATCAGAAGAATTTGGAAGAAGTTCCAGCCATAAGTGTAAAGACAGACTCACAGGCCTTTCCTTTCTTCTGACCAAGAGGGACCAAGAGTCATTTATAAACCTGCTCCGTGGTTTGCTTCTATTCAGGAACGGTGCCCCTTCTGTAAAGTGCGTGCCTCTAATGCTGGTCCTTGTTTAGCTTTTTTTTGTTTTCCTAGATGGCTATGTGACTAGAAAATGGGAAACACTACTCTACTGGCGTCAGAACAGAATGGGATTTCATCAGTCATAAAGATTCAAGGGGAAAAACAAATACAACCCACCAGGTAAATAAAATATTTAGTTTCCCAAGGGAAACTAAAAACTCTAAAACCCTTATCCTGTAAATTAGGCTTTAATGTTAACAGTCACAGCACCAGGAAACACACCATTTATTTTTTAAGTCTTTTTAAGTTCTCAAAACTAGAATCTTGTGGAACCATCTTATTCCTTCCTACATTCGCATTTGGATATACCATTGCAATTCCACTATCAAATGTACTCATGGCTGTTTGCAGGACTGGCCTTCAGTGAACAGCAGGTTTAGGCCAGAATGTTCTGTACAAAAGGGAAAGAGAGAAAGCATCAATTACCTGTTCCCCTTGACTCCCAATTCCAGGGGTGCCCATCGGTCCTTGGGGTCCCACAGGTCCCGTATCTCCCTGTGTAGAAATAAGTCAGAAATATAACAATACAGCTAACCTCATTCTTTCCCACTTTGCTCATCTTGCAATATGATGGATTAAAGTTTATCTTTTAAACCATAAAGAAGTTCAGCAGAGAAAGTTACAAAACACCATTGCTTTTAAATAGTATGTGGTTCGAATTTGCCAAAATAGCGAATAATTTTTTCACTCTTTGATCAAAAATGGTGTTTGTTTGCACCAGCTTATATTTATCAATCATTTTTTCACAGAGCAAACACTTCTTGTGAGGATCATTAACAGAAATATTTAAAAGCATAAAATTCATAGGAAGCAAGAAAATCAGTATTTGAGAGAGGAATTAAAGAAAATTATTTTTAAAATTTCTAAATACCTTTTTCCTCCAAATCTTAACAAAAATGTGTTTTAAAACTTAAGAAATTATCTAAGTGAGACAAAATGAAAGAACTTCACCTTCTTATTCCATGAATAATTTTGAGAAATAAAGTGAAAGTTATCAGTGAGAACAATATCATTCATCCTTTCTCTATGTATTTCCACAAATATTTGTTAGTGCTTATTATGTGCCAGGAATTGCTTCAAACATGGGGAAATAGCAGTGACCAAAACAGACAAAGCTCTGTTTCCTCATAGATCTTTCACTTTCTTGGAGAAAACAGAAGATAATAAGCAAGATAGAAGAAATAAATAGTATGCTGAATGATGATAAGTGCTAAGGAGAAAAATAAATGGGGGAATGGGGAGACAGCTGCAATCTGGGGAAAGGTGACTTGGTCTCACTGATGAGAGGCATAAACCAGGTAGAAACTTGGAGGAAAAGCATTCCAGGCAAAGCAAACATCCATGCAAGGAAGATTCCTGGAACATTCCAGAAACAGCAAGGAGACAATGTGGCTGGAGCTAGTGAGCATGAAGGAAAGTGGTAAAAGATGAAGTCAAGGATGTGTGGCAGTGGGATCAGGCAGAGCAATCGACAGGGCCTTTTAGGCCATTGTGAGGGCCTTGGCTTTTCTCTGAGTGAGCTGGGAAGCCACTAGAGGATTTTGAACAGAGGAGTGAAAGATCTGGCTTAGTCTTCAAATGTTCACTCTGGAAGTCACACTGAGAACAAATGGAAGAGATGTCCATATGAGAGATGATTGTGGCCTGGACCAGGCTGTTGAGTGAAGGTGGTGGGGAGTGCTCAGCTCCTAGACAGATTTTGCAAGTAAAGCCAACAGGATTTGCTACAGATCAAGGATATCTTTGAGGTTTGTGGGAAAACATACTTGTCACTCATTGAGAGGGAAAAGACTGAAATCAAGCAAGGCTGGGGAAGGGTGTAATACCAGTAGCTCAGTTTTAGACGTGTTAAGTTTGAGATACCTAAAATAAACATCCAAACAGAGATATCAAGTAGGTGGGAGGGGTGTGAGCTGGAGATGTCAATTTGGGAGCTCTCATGATATAAATGGCATTTGAAGCCAAGACTGGGTAAGTTTTCAAGGAGAAAGAGAGGAGAAAAGGTTCAAGGACTGAGCCTTTTGGGTGCTCCAAGTGTTAGAGGTCAGAGAGACAAAGAAGAACCAGCAGGGAAGATATTCTTTCAAGAAGGTGAGGATCCTAGCAGATGATGCTACTGATAGGCCAAGTAAATTGACAACTGAGAGCTGACCATTGGATTAGGTGACATGGATAAATAGGCTTTATTTACTTATTTATATCTGTGCTGGGTCTGCATTGCTTTGTGTGGGTTTTCTCTAGTTGCCGCAAGCAGGGGCTGCTCTTCGCTGTGGTGCGTGGGTTTCTCGCTGCCGTGGCTTCCCCTGTTGTGGGTGCAGTTCCCGGGCTCTAGAGCACGGGCTCAACAGTTGGGGCACATAGGCTTAGTTGCTCTGCAACATGCGGGATCTTCCCAGATCAGGAATCGAACCTGTGTCTCCCGCATCGACAGGCGGATTCTTTACCACTGAGCCGCCAGGGAAGCCCAATACGCTCATTTTAATGTCCATTGTATTTAGACTACATCAGGATCTGCAAACATTTTCTTAAACAGTTGGATAGTAAATATTTTATGCTTGAGAGTCATAATAAGGTCTCTTGCAAAACCAATGAATGCTGCTTCAGTAGTACAAAAGCAACCAGACAGTAGTTAAATGAATAGGTGTGTCTAATACTTCATTTACAAAAACAGGCAGCCCGCCCTATAGTTTGCCAATGCCTGGGCTAAATAAACATGCTTTTGTGAACAAAAGCACATGATTAGATCATAGTTTATATAATATTAAAAACCTGAACCTGTCATTAAGACAGGCCCTGGCATGTGCTTCTTAGTGGTTCACTTTGTGTCAACCCCTCATCTAAATAAATGTCCACAGAAGAAAACATGTAATGGACTCAAGTTCTAATTCAAAGCTGGGTTATTCCGATTCAGAACTTGATTGCCTATCATGAGGCATTCATTGTGCCAAATGCTTTTCATGCTTTATTGCATTTAATCCTCACAAAAACCCTCTGAAAGTAAGCACCCCCATTTTCCAGATGAGGTTAAGTCAGGAAGACCCCCTGGAGAAGGAAATAGCTACCCACTCCAGTATTCTTGCCTGGAGAATTCCATGGACATAGGAGCCCGGCTGCAGTCTCTGGGATCACAAAGAGTCAGACATGACTGAGCAACTAACACTTTACTACTTTCAACTCCCAGTCACACAACTGACAGATTCAAGTCCTCTCCCTCCAACTCCGAACCCAATTCATAATCACTGTTCTGCAAATATTCAACAACTCATATAACAGACCTCTTTGGGGAATTACATTTAAATATCTGTATTAAAGCTACTTCCTTGTTCTGTAAAATGGTGTATTTTTGATAGTCCTTATCACAGAAGTGTTTATCTAATCACTTGAATCCCAGAATATAAAAGAATAGGAAAAAAAGAAAGGAGAAGGGAAAGGGAATGAAAATCAGATAAAAGCTTTGCAATTACTGGATGACACTGTCCTATTTCAGTGTCTTCTTTGCGTGAGCTCCAGGTATAAAACCACAAATGCCTGTCAACAATACCTGGAAAAGTTAATTTACTGAACTTATAACACAGCATTTGTGTTGTACTCAGTAGTCACTACGCCAAAGGAACAAAGAGCATCTTATGTATTTTTAGAGTGTTTTGGAACTGGAGTTACACCACCAGAGCTCAACTATTTGAACCAAGAATTGTATGATGTCTGAAATTTGTGTAGTTCACCATTTACAACTGTCTCTGCTACTTAAATACAGATACCCAGAAAAGACAGCTACCAGTAAACAGTAAACAAAAGAAATAAGAAATTCAATTAGAAATACAACACCCAAGATAATCATCCATGTCAATTGTTATTCTAATATAATGATATGTTTAGACATTGACATATATGTATGACTCCAAACTAATTGACATCTGTGTTTTTCACACATTTCTTATATACCTTCCCTCTCTGGCAGCTTTCCCTTCCTACTGGTCTTTAAAATGTTTATAGTTAACTGGATACCTGTGTGGTATGGTTGTCAGGTTGTATATAGTTCATAAATGTACATACATAAAGAACAATGAAAAGTCATTTTATTGGCATCCTTTCTGTTATCTACCCTATATGCAGTACCTTGTCCCCTTTTATTGATGGGCCCGCTTCTCCTTGTGGGCCAATTGGTCCTTGAGAACCTTTTTCACCCTGAAAGTATATGGGAGAGCTATCAATGCAATAATAAACGTCAGGATTTTAAAACAGGTAAAGCATTCAAAACATCAAAATTCACTGCTAACTACAAATGGGTAATTCTAACTCCAAGATTTGTAAATTGAAAAAAAAAAAGCATTAAAATTTCATAAATATAAAAGAATCTGTTCAAGCAGAAAACTTACACAGCATCACTGAAGTGGGAAAAGAGCCCCATTCCTATTATAATCAGAAATATCTGAAAGTGGGAGATCTAATCAATCATGTATTACAACTAACTGAATCAGTCTTCTGTTTGTTTACCATTTCTATAACCGTATCCATTACATAATGAAAATCTGTCTCTCAGTATGTGAAATAACATTTGCTAAGAAGGAATTATTTATTAAGTGTTTTATACCAAAATTTATAAACATTTATTGAAAACTTAGTTTTAAAAGAATTTATGGAAAATCTTTTTAGGTATGCTTCTAGAGTCACATGGCCTATGTGAATCACTCTGGTTATAATGTCATGTCAATAAAGTCATAACACTTTGTCATTTGTATAAAAAACAAACCACAGAATTGATCAGAAATAGCACACATTTCATAAATTCATTTGAACCAAGAGTAAAATCAAAGAACATTTGCAAGAAACCTAGGAAAATATACCCTTATGTTTTTCTGTAGTCATTATTTATTCACTTAAGCCCCACGTCATTGCAAAGTAGCCCCAAGAAGTACATACAGGAAACTCTCATTGGTCTTGCTATTTGACAGTGAAGAAGTCTGTCTAATGGGTTCTGATTGTTACCACAGAGTACATCTGTGTACAGTCAATCCTAAAACAACACTGAATATAATGAGTTGTTTCTTTAATGAGTCAGAGGGCAATGCAGTGCTATGGGTTATTATGAAGGAATGTAATGTTATACCATGCCATTGAAACTGCCAGTAAAACACGCCCTGAAATATGTTTCCCAGTGTTTTATTTACTCTGTTCTCATTTATTTATTTCTTTAAACCCCACAGATTATAAGGAGAAATAATTCTGGCTGTTTGAATTTTCCAGGTTGTTTGGGCTATACATAATTAGAAATTTACTATGTGCCACAAAAAAATTAAAGAAATTATGTATGATAAAACTTTCTGAAATGTGGTGCCGAATTGCTGACCTCTGCCTTCTTGTGATGATATTTTGGTTAAGTGAGGGCATTAGTAATATCCCCTTTTCCAACGTATTATTTCCATTTACTATAACAAATTAAAATTTGTTGGTTAACAAGGGCTTCTTTTAAAATTCAACCCCGCAGTCACTCACAACTTCGTGTGATATAGTTGTTTTAGCTAATTGATCTCCCTTCAGTTGAGATTTAGGTTTCTCATAGATAACTAAATATTGATCATGGTGGAAGAGGCTGAAAATGAGAAGCAATTTTAGAGTGTTAGACCGTACTGAGAAGGTCAGATCTCAGTGACTCGACTGAATGAAGTGGAAGGTCTTAAACACTTAGAAAACAGCACATGCTTCTCTGGGTAGTGTGTGTGCATGCATGTATGTCTGGGGGAAACATTTTAGGAAAGAAGGAAAGAGGACCTCCAGTTTATCTTTGTGAAAGTGAAAATTGCCCAGTTGTGTCTGACTCTTTGAGACCCCCATGGATTGTATGGAATTCTCCAGGCCAGAATCCTGGAGTGGGTAGCCATTCCCTTCTCCAGGGGATCTTCCCAACCCAGGGACCTTACCTACCGTGAAATTCTGTTGTTGCTGCACAAAGTCTCTCAGAAAATCATTTCCTGTGTTACCTTTAGCAAATGAGTCATATAATATGGGTAAAGAGTCTAGACCAGGGATCAGCAAACTCCAACCCACTGGCCAACCCCAGCCCACTGCATGTTTTTTTGTAGATACAGTTTTACTGAAGCATAGCCAAGTTCACCCATTGCTTAGGTTTGCCTTCATGCTTTAGCAACAAAAGTTAAATAGTTACGACAGAAACCACATGGCTCACAATGTCTGAAATATTTACCGTCTGGTTCTTTACAGAAAAAGTTAGCCAAGCCCTGGTCTAGAGGAACTTAAGCTGCAAGAATTACACGTGGGAGGCCGTGTAAACATTTAACATCTCAATTGCCAGGTGAGAGGTAGCTCTTGTGTAACATTTTGCTCCTTCTGGTAGTAAGGCAAATTTGATTCCCTCCACCCACCCACATTGCCTTTCTTATATTAATGGCAATAATATGACAAATTGGTTTATTAGATTGTTTCTTGTCTGTTTCACAGAACAAAGCTGTGGGTAAAACTTGGTATGTGTGTGTGTGTGTGTTAGTTGCTCAGTCGTGTCCGACTCTTTGAGACCCATGGACCACAGTCCACCAGCCTCTTCCGTCTGTGGAATTCTCCAGGCAAGAATACTGGAGTGGGTTGCCACTTCCTTCTCCAAAACTTGGTATATAGCTATGCTCAATAACTTAATTTCTGGGCATAAAAGTGCTATTTATCCCTGTGGTTTTAATGACTACGAATGACTTTAAGAGATTTTCTAATTTCACACGCAGTAATTGTATGAAGCAGCACCCTTGCAATTACTTATTTATAATTGCAAATGTCACTATAGCTTCCTGTTAAGGGAAAATTTACATAAAAATTCATTTAATAGGGTGAAGATGGTCAGGAAAATACTTGACCTGGAATAATTGGCTAGGACACAGTTTTTTAATTTATAATTAATGATCATGCAATAGAATGCCTTTCTCCTCCATGTAGAAGGTGCTGTTACCTTTGGTCCTGGAAGTCCTTCTCCTGGTAAGCCTCTCTCTCCTGGTGGTCCCTCAGGCCCACGGGGACCCTGGTTAGGACACAAGAGAGTGAGAAGCAAAAGAAGAGAGTGAGAAAATAGGAGAAAGGAGAGAGAAGGGAGGAGAGAAGAAGAAAGATAATGGTCACATTTCAGTTCACAGGGGCATGCAATGATCCAGTCCTATTCACACGATTAGTGAGAATCTGTCCTCCTAGTGCACACCATGCTGATAAGTAGAATCATACGGTTGTGAAGAATAATATTTTCATGATATTAAATACTTGTTCTATTTGATTGGCATAAGATGTTCTATTCTGATGTTCTCAAACTGGCAGAAAATGGAAGTGAAGTGATGCTTCAGAATAAGGATGAAGAAATCAACCCTATGAGGAAAGGCTAAAAATCTAGGACTGTGTGGCCTGAAAAAGGATGCAAAGTGATGAAATAATTTAATTAGGTATCAGGGGAAAAAAATCACCACACAGCTGTTTTAAAGCACTGAATTCTGTTTACATGCTGTTTTAATTTCCATCCTGATAAATTTGGATTCAGACTTGAATTCTTTCTGGAACTGGTTGAATCCCCTGGAGTTTTATGTGCAAATAGAAATCTTGATAGAATCTTTTAAGAGGTAACAAGACTTTTGATCTCAATGATTAAAATTAAGAAGTCCACGTGACTCTTGCTCAGAAAGGCACTCAGTAAGGTGGGGACTTCTCACATAAGGAAAGAAAAACAGTACAGTCTCAGGTTTTGAAATGGATGAACAGGCAGCATACTGGTTAAAACAGACAACAACAAAATATTCACTTAAACCAGGAATTTTAAAAGATGATAAATTTGTTCTCTCTTTTTTCTTGACCAGAAGGCAAAAAAAAAAAAAAAAAAAAAAAACAGGTAGAAAGGAGACTAACAACAAGAATGGTAGATGCATGAATTGCAGCTTTTCCTCTAGTGGATGTAGAAAGATAATTAGGACTCTCTGGCAGGGAAATAAATCTATTCTGGAACAAGACTGAGTTGCCCAGAGCCTCAAAGGAGGTCCCCCGTGTAGACACTCTGAGTGATCTTGGGGCTCAGTCTACAGTAATCTCGGGTGATTTAAGAGACATTTTCTACTCCAGCCTGGGAGCAGAGCTAGAACACAGCACGATGCACATCAGTGACCAATCACAGCTACAGATTTGTGAGAGAGAAAGCTAATTGTACCCCATAGCTAATTTTGGGGGGCTTTCCTTAAAATCATATCTTTTAAAAGACAGCCTTCTTTAGTATTTGTGCATAGCCAATTTAGTAAAGGCTTTAATTAAAGTAAAAAACTAGCATTTAATTCAATTGAAATTGCTGTGCTTATGGGAAAACTAGCTTTTAACCATCCAAGGGCTTAATCAAAGTCCTAATATCCATGACAGAGTAATCTAACGTTAGAGCAATTAACTAGGAGAAAAGAAATATGGTGTGAAAACTAGATTGCAAACTAGACAGAGAAGCCCTAGCTAATATTACACACTGTACAAAAAAAATTATTAACAAGCTATTCTTCTTCCTCAAATGAAAATAACCCAATATTTCATGAAATGCAAAGGAGTCTTTTTCCAGTTCATTCAATGTTTTTTCCCATTCATTCAGTGACTGTTTACCAAATGCCTGGTAGGTACAAGTCACTGTGCTAGCATCTGAAAACAGCAGACATGCCCACTCCTTGTCTCATAGAGTTTACAGTCTTGCATGATAAACTAAAAGCAGCTTTGGGAGTCATTTGGACTGATGTTCAAGCCACCTCTCTGCCACATATTAGCAGTGTGATCTTAAATAATTCCATCTCTCTAAGTTCAGCATTCACATCAGAATAGTGGTAACAATAGTATCTACCTCAACCACATGTATTAATATAAGGACTAGATTAAAGAGATGTAAAGCTCTTACATATTAAGCACTCAATAAATATCTGCTTGCTATCATGATCAAAATTGTTTTCCTTGGATCCTTCAATTGCTAAGAAAGTCCTTTTATGAAGTTTTTACAAATAAAGTAGTCTCAGAGTATGGTTTATGTTAAGCAATATGGACAGACGCATGCCACATATAGCAAGCACTGATACTTGTGTCCATCTCTGCATTTCCAGAAGACATTAGCCAAGGTGAAAATGAAAATAATGAAGACTTTGAGGAGTCACACTTTCCAAGCTCCTGAGAACAGAGTTAACACTTGTGAACAACCACTTAGGGGCCTTTAAAAAAAACAGTGCTTCAAGGTTTAATTACTGGAAACCTGGGAACTGTCAGAGTAATATTCTGCACCATCAGTATATTCTCAAGTTTTCCAGTTAAACAGTCAAGGTGAATGATGACTGCTGACCAGAGAAGAGAAAGAGCAGGTACTTAGGTTAGATGAACTATACTTTCAATTTATTAAGATGGTACCAACAGATTATTTTTTAAAAGACAAAAATGCTCAGTAAAAAGGTATCTTTTTCAAAGGCTATGATATCTAGTTATAACTCTGACATTCTTATTTGGCTTCTAATGAACACCTTTAATTAAAACATATCTAGTGGAAGAAACTAATTATCAGTTAACAGAGTCTGACCAGAAATGCTTTTTATGAGACATTAACAAGATAAAATATAACTGTCCATTATCATTATCTTCTTTCATAATCTCAGTAGTGTAGATAATCAATAAAAGTGGTTTCAATATATGTTGTAAGCATTAAAGATAAATGTGCTAAATAATATTAAAAATTATCCTTTATATTCAGTGAAATTTATTTTTAATTTCAAAATAATTAGTTTTACTTCAGGGGATTTTTCTTACTGAAAGTGCTCCCAAAAAACCAAACAGAGCACCCTAAGAGTGTTGAACCAATTTATTATTCTTTAATCAGCCATCTGTCAGACTATCACACAACTAATGATAATCATATAATTAAAGATGGCAGCTGTCAGTTCATAGTTCAGTCAAGGGGCTGGAATATTAATTCATTTGATCAGATTTATATTACTATTGTATAAAAAAAGTTGCTAGTACTAAACTAGAAACCACTTGAAATGATTCAGGCAAAGAAATAAATATAAAGAACTTTCAGCAGAAGCTTTGTCAGTCCTAAAATAAGCCTTTATGTTACTTTGAAATAATTCAAAGCTCATTACTGATTTTTATTATGATATTTTGGGACAGTATTTTCATACATTTCTTGAAATTTATCCCCTCTTTGTTATGATTTTAGTTCCCAATTATTTCAGATTACACAGTGTCACTCTATTTGTGTACTTGTGGCTTAGATCACAAGAAAACAAACAAGAATTTCATGTTCTGCCAATACTGTGAAAACTCTCTAGCTACAAAGAAAAGAGTAAATAATACAAATTTTCCTTTAAAATGAAGGCCCAAAAAAATCAATAAATAAGGGAAGTTACAGGGTTTCAAAACAAAAAGAGAGCTGAACACTAGAGGTATGCCTATAAGCTAACACTGTAACTGTTCTGGGTGAAAAGTGTGGTTGTGTACTAGGGCAAAATCTAGGAGTCTAAGAGGAAGAAATGGGAACAAAGACTTAGGCTCACTCAGTGGAAGATGGGGAGGAAATTAGAACTGAAATCCTCCCATAAAACTAAGACCTTCTAAGTTATATACCTTCAGTGAAAGGGCAGGGTAGAACACTGTGTTCCCATCAACACAGTGTTATGAATGAAAAGAATCTTGTGTACTTCACTTGGGCTCTAAATGGACCTGACCACTCCTAACTGGGTCCTATGTGGCATATGAGTTTGTAGTTTCAAGCGATACCACGTTGATGGTCCTGGGGCACCTTAGTCAAGGCATTAACATCAAGTATGTGCCTGGAATATATAAGAGATGCAAATAAACGCACATTCCTCTCAAATATGCTCCAACATAGAACAATTGGGATTTCACAGTTAAACCTGGCTGACAATAAATTCAGATGCCAGAGTACAAAACATATAAGAAATTAATTCTCAGTGAGTAAAAGTGAACCAATAGATACCAATAAAAGGGAAGGTAGACTTTAAATGATTAAAGCTCTTAAGAATAGAAATACAAGAAGCGAAGAGGACAGTATAGCAAAAATATATTAATAAAAAGAGGTAGATTTTTAAAAATAGCTTCAAGAATTTTTAAAAATACTTATTAAGTTAAAAATACAAGAGATGATTTAAGGACATTTCCTAAGCAGACAAAGATAAATTTGTGCATTATGTTAGGTTTTAGGAAACCACCCCAAAATGCAACTAAATAATAGAATTCCTAAATAAATAGAGAATGGAAAAAGAAAATATCTGAAGAGATTATAACTAATAACTTGCAAAATAGTTGATTTCTCAGAGACATGAAACTCATGAATTTGAAGCAATATAAATGAAAATATATCCATATGTGTTTGCATCATAGTAAATCTATGGAGACAGTAAGACCTTCAATGGTGGATAGTAATAGCAAATCCTCACTTGATTATTGATTAATTGCTTGCCCCCACCCCTCACCAATTATGGCCATCATCATGGCCCCCTCCATTATGAAAGAGTTCCATGGTAGTCAACATACTATCAGAAATGTAACTGGCCCTTTCCGGAGAAAGGTGACATCAGGCTTCCATGTACCTTTTGCAGATTGGGCATAGTCAGCAGTGGCAACATCCAAGTTAGCTTTGTTAAAAGGAAGTTGATGCTGCTCCTGTGTATAGTCTCCATCCCAGCCACTCAGTAAAACTGAGTGGATGGTAGTAGAGCTAGGAAATGAGATTGACTGAATTCTATTTGCTTATTTAGAACCGTCTTTAAAATGGATGTGGTTTGGTGAGCATTCACCTAGGACACAAATATTTTCATACTCTGTGCTCATGAAGAGAACAGGAATCTGCTTCCAGCCAGGCCAGCCTAACATGCTCAGTTTGTTTTCCCTTTGTCTGTTCATATGGGGCTGTAGGTATGGCTTGTGGGAAGAGTAACAGTGGAGAAGATGCCATCAGAGTCTCCAAATCAGTTACTCATGAAACTATTTGTATCTTCAAGAATTGATGCTGGACTTCTGCTGCATGTAGCCTAGAAGTCTTATATAACACCCAGTTCATGATGAATAATTCAACATGTACAGTCACATATTGTCCCTTGGTTAGCCATGCAGTCTCTTTTAGGATCCAGCAGCAAGGCAGAGCTGTTAAGTTAAAGTAGGTGGTAAACCTATGGCTGATTCATGTAGATGTTTGGTAGAAACCAACAGAATACTGTAAAGCAATCATCCTTCAGTTAAATTAATTTTTTAAAAGCAGGCATATGGAAGAAAAGAAGTCTTATGCTTGTTTCAAAAAATCTAGGTTTCTTTTGGACAGCTCATAAAGATTTGACATTGAAACATGAAACTCATTTTTATTCCCACTGACTCAGAACCTTGTGAGAAGATTTTTTCATTTCTATCAGAAACTTCCCAAACTCTCTGCTGTACCCCCTCTATACACGGCAGCATGTCTGGGCCTGTGTCTTTCTAGCTAATGTCATTTTGCTTTTCTAGGTTTCCAGTCTCTAGTGTAGAATGATCAGTGTCTGCAGGGAACTCATATTCTTCTTTCTCAGTAGTTAAGTTTTAAGAGTACTATCTAGTTAGTGGAAACAGCAGCTAATTACACCAGTATACTTTTCCTCTATTTGATGTTCTATTTTTTGAATCTGTGTATTCAGACATTGGTGAAAAGTCAACCCTCAAACAATATGCTGCCATTTCATTCCCAGAGTATAGCAAGGAAGCACATATTTGTCTTAATATGTACATGTAAGAAACTACAAAACCCAATTGAGAGACCAACTATTTAGTTGTCTAGACCAGCAAGTCAGCTACTGTTCTTTTCCAGAAGGATAATGATGACTTGAAAAGTTAAAAACCTTCTTATTCCAGAAGTCATGTTTTACTCATTTCCTCTCCAACTCTCTTTTGACAGAAAATTTTTTCCTTTCCAACAACAGTGAATATCAAAGCCACATAAAGTAGAAGCTGCAAATAGCACACCTGTCTACCATTATTAATTCTAACTTTAGAGTATACTCAGGATTGGGGGATTAATCTCAGTGATTTTTCTCATGATTATAGGAAAGTCAATTACAAATTATAGATATTAAAGTCTGAATCTAGATCTCCTATCTCCTAGGAGTAGAAAATTTTGACATATGAGAATGCTTTTCTTCATGGACAAGCTGATTAATTTCATAAGAGATTATACTAAGAGAGAGCCTATGTACATATCCTATACATATAATTATCCCTTTTTCAAGTATTATGAAGACTAACATTTGGATCTGACCTTTGTATATTTATTGACTTTTATTGTTCAAAAAGATAAAGATAGATTAGTTTAACCATAGTCTAACCCAAAGGAGCACATAAGAATTTATCCTCTTAATTCCACCTAGAATTTTTTGCTACTCACTGTCTGGCCCGGTTCACCAACACCAGTAGGTCCTGGAGGCCCAATTCTTCCTTCCTGGCCCCTCTGCCCCTACAAGGAAGAAATAGTTGAATGCAAGCTTGAGTTTTTAAATAAAGAACACACATAGCACAAAGTACTCTGGAGATTTCAACAAAGATAAATAGAAAAAATGTCAAACTTTTCAAATTCCTAAAGATTAAAAAAAAAAAAATCTAAAAGAGGAAAGGGCTTCCCTGGTGGCTCAGAGGTAAAGAATCCACCTGTCAACGCAGGAGACATGGGTTAGATCCCTGAGTCGGGAAGATTCCCTGGAGAAGGAAATGGCAACCCACTCCAATATTCTTGTCTGGAGAATTCCATGGACAGAAAAGCCTGGTGGGTTACCATCCATGGGTCGCAGAGTCGGACACAACTCAGTGACTAAACACCAGAGCCTGAAAAACACCTTGAATTTAAGTGAACAAATTACCCCCAAATGTTCCTCATTCCTTCCTATCTAGATGCAATTTTAGTTTTCAGAAATGATTAGCAATTGGCAGGACAGACTGTGCAACTGATTCTGATTACTGAGAAGACCAACTGACAATGCTTGTGCTGTTCCCTGCCCCCTCACCTGGGGTGCCTCCCATCCCCCCACCCCCGCCCAGTCCTGTTCCATTCCACCTCACCACTCACGTTTCACCTTTCATCTCCTTCAGAACCCTTCTCCAGTAACTCTGCCAGTATAAACTCCTCATTCCCTGGGGTCTCAATGTGCTAATTGTCTAAATGCCATCCATGGTGACACCTGCTTACATTCAAAGTGCACTGTTTTGTACTGCTCTCTGTTTTAGCCCCACGTTGAAGTCTTATTGTCCCAGTGACATAGAAAGGCTATTTAAAATAAGCACTTTTGCTCTAGTACATCCTGCTTGATGCAGAGCACCCCAGAGTGTCGGGTGTTTCAGTCCTTTCTGGGCTTCCCAGGTGGCGCTAGTGGTAAAGAACCCACCTGCCAATGCAGGAAACATAAGAGACACAGACTCAATCCTTGGATTGGGAAGATTCAGCCCTTCCTAGTTTCCAACAACATGAAATCAAAAGCCGCTTTCTCCTTGGAAGGAAATTTATGACCAACCTTGATAACATATTAAAAAGCAGAGACACTGCTTTGCCAACAAAGGTCCGTCTGGTCAAGGCTATGGTTTTTCCAGTGGTCATGTATGGATGTGAGAGTTGGACTATAAAGAAAGCTGAGTGCCGAAGAATTGATGCTTTTGAACTGTGGTGTTGGAGAAGACTCTTGAGAGTCCCTTGGACTGCAAGGAGATCCAACCAGTCCATCCTAAAGGAGATCAGTCCTGGGTGTTCATTGGAAGGACTGATGCTGAAGCTGAAACTCCAGTACTTTGGCCACCTCATGCGAAGAGTTGACTCATTGGAAAAGACCCTGATACTGGGAGGGATTGGGGGCAGGAAGAGAAGGGGACGACAGAGGATGAGATGGCTGGATGGCATCACCGACTCGATGGGCATGAGTTTGAGTAAACTCCGGGAGTTGGTGATGGACAGGGAGGCCTGGTGTGCTGCAATTCATGGGGTCGCAAAGAGTTGGACACGACTGAGCGACTGAACTGAACTGACTGAGTTTCCAACAAACCTGTCAGCATTTACTTATTCACTGTCAGGTTTCTTCTGACTTCTGCCCCTCTATGTTTATTTGATGTGAACAGGTGATAGTTGATGTGTTAAGGTATTTCACATCCTAATGACATTTTTGCGTGATAACATTTAGAGTCCATGAAAACTCAATAGAACCAGATGTACATTGGCGAGAGGGTGGGTATTTGGAGCCAAGAATAATTTTCATTCCAAACAATCAAAAAAATACATAGATTATTCTTGGGGTAACTGGCCCCAACTAGGGCATTGTGAGTGTCCAAGCATCCAGACTGTAAGTAACTCATCTACAGGCAGACTCCTTGTGTCTCTGAAGGTAAGACTGAGCAGAGTTCAAGTCACAGTTCTCCCAGCCTTACAATAAATTCACAAATCATCAGGGCAAAGAGACAAGTATCTTTACCTTAACACCTTGCTGTCCAATACCCGGGGCTCCTGGAGGGCCATAGGGACCAGGAGGGCCAGGTTCACCCTGGAGGAAGAAAGAGTGATATGTTAGGTCAACTCCATCATATCTGTTGGGCAGTTCTTGGATGCACAGTGATGTGATAGGGGCTTTGAGGGTATCACTACAACCTAACACACAGTCTCAAGGTCTCCACCCTCAAGTGTTTACCATCCAGTTGGACAGACAACACAGACCCAGGATGGAATTAGCCATGAGGCACAGTAGACCCAGTATTTAGGGTTCATGAAAATGTCTCCATTTAAATTTTTTAAATCAGAATTTTTCTTTAAAAAACTTAATATTGATTATAATAGTGAATCCAGTCTGGACCACATTTTCTTCATACCAACTCAGTTGAAATCTGTAATTTTAAACATATTTATGAAGGAAAATGCCCAGAAGCACAAAAGTTTTTAGGATCTCTGAAAAGTCATAATTCGGCCCTCATTCATTTGTTCAGAACATCTTTATTAAGTGCCTCTGGCAGACACATTTGTTTCCTACCCAGTGACCATCCCCTCCCTTCTCTCTTCCCTGCTGTTATGAATCTGATCTGTTCAGGTCAGTGGGCAGGTATTCTTCACCCTAGGAAGTGTAAGATGAATGATAATCAGTCTAAAATAAGGGTAGATTCTTCTTTCTCATTGCCAATGAGTCTATGTTAATCCTTTAGCTCAGTTCCGAGAAATGAGATGTGGGGACCTGATGGGATGCAAAGGGAAATTTTGCTTCTGCTTCCTTTGTTCCTTGGAGATGTAATAGCTTGTCTTGTAACCACGAGGCACCAGTCTCCCAGACGAATGCCAATGGTTGATGAGGGTGAGGCAGAAAACGTTTAGAAGAGCCTGGCTTCTGGACAACCTCTCTGAACTCCTGATCCAGTCCTGCACTACCCACCTTCAAACACTGTTTACTCAACAAGAAGCATTCTTAATGATTTGAGCTGCTGTTAGTCAGGATATTTGTTACTAGATAGCAGAAGCAGTTCAGTTACTATGGTCTATGAGGTGGCAGGCCCATCATGGAGCTTGGGTGCTGCAGAACTGAACGTGACCGCAGCACTCAAACTCCCGCGTTTCACTGGTGAGGAAGCTGAGTCCCAGAGGAATTATCTGGCCTGCACAAACTCACACCTGAGTATCACCCACAGGGATATGGGTCTTCAGATCTTTCAGGCTTCTGGTCCTGTCATGTTGACAGAGAAAAGGAGAGTGGCTATGGACTGCCACTTCTTTTTTATAATGCTAATTTCTTCTGTTTAACAAAATAATGTGTCTTTTTTAATTGACACCAACATGAGTTGAATTATGAAGTCTTATTCTCATTCTCAGGGAGTTGATATGTTCAAATGCCAGCAGGAAAGCAACCGAGAGCACAGTGGGGAGATCTGTGGTTGCTTATGAGAATCTGACTCCTAGACATTTCATGAGATCAACTTTAAATTTTATACCAGCAGCAAGAAACAAGGTAGTCAACTGACACTCAGAATTCATAATACTTGGTCTTGCCGTCAACAAAAGCAGAAGATATTAAGAAGAGGTAGCAAGAATACATGGAAGAACTATATAAAAAAGATCTTCATGACCCAGATAACCATGATGGTGTGAGCACTCACCTAGAACCAGACATCCTGGAATGCGAAGTCAAGTTGGCCTTATAAAGCATCACTATGAACAAAGCTAGTGGAGGTGATGGAATTCCAGTTGAGCTATTTCAAATCCTAAAAGATGATGCTGTGAAAGTGCTGCACTCAATATGCCAGCAAATTTGGAAAACTCAACAGTGGCCACAGGACTGGAAAAGGTCAGTTTTCATTCCAATCCCAAAATAAGGCAATGCTAAAGAGTGCTCAAACTACCACACAATTGCACTCATCTCACACACTAACAAAGTAATGCTCAAAATTCTCCAAGCCAGGTTTCAACAGTTCGTGAATCATAAATGGTTCACATGTTCAAGCTGAATTTAGAAAAGGCAGAGGATCAGAGTTCAAATTGCCAACATCCATTGGATTATTGAAAAAGCAAGAGAGTTCCAGAAAAACATCTACTTCTGCTTTATTGACTATGTCAAAGCCTTTGACCATGTGGATCACAACAAACTGTAAAAAAATTTCTTAAAGAGATGGGAATACCAGACCACCTGACCTGCCTCCTGATAAATCTGTATGTAGGTCAAGAAGCAACAGTTAGAACTGGACATGGAACAACAGACTGGTTCCAAATAGGAAAAGGAGTATGTCAAGGCTGTATATTGTCACCCTGCTTATTTAACTTATATGCAGAGTACATCATGAGAAATGCCGAGCTGGATGAAGCACAAGCTGAAATCAAGATTGCTGGGAGAAATATCAATAGCCTCAGATATGCAGATGACACCACAATTATTGCAGAAAATGAAGAACTAAAGAGCCTCTTGATGAAAGTGAAAGAGGAGAATGAAAACGTTGGCTTAAAACTCAACATTCAGAAAACTAAGATCATGGCATCGGGTCCCCTCACTTCATGGCAAATAGATGAGGAAACAATAGAAACAGTGAGAAACTTTATTTTTGGGGGCTCCAAAATCACCACAAATGGTGACTGCAGCCGTGAAATTAAAGACACCTGCTCCTTGGAAGAAAAGTTATAACCAACCTAGACAGCATAGGTTGGTTAAAAAGCAGAGACATTACTTTACCAGCAAAGGTCCATCTAGTCAAGGCTATGGTTTTTCCAGTGGTCATGTATGGATGTGAGAGTTGGACAATAAAGAAAGCTGAGCATCAAAGAATTGATGCTTTTGAACTGTGGTATTGGAGAAGACTCTTGAGAGTCCCTTGGACTGCAAGGAGATCCAACCAGTCCATCCTAAAGGAAATCAGTCCTGAATATTCATTGGAAGGACTGATGTTGAAGCTGAAACTCCAATACTTTGGCCACCTGATGTGAAGAACTGACCCATTGGAAAAGACCGTGATGCTGGGCAAGATTGAGGGAGGGAGGAGAAGGGGATGACAGAGGATGAGATGTTTGGATGGCATCACCGACTCAATGGACATGAATTTGAGTAAGCTCCGGGAGTTGGTGATAGACAGGGAGGCCTGGTGTACTGCAGTCCATGGGATCACAAAGAGTTGGACACGACTGAGTAACCGAACTGAACTGAACTGATACTATGGACCTCAAGATGGAAGAAAGTCAGCGTTTAATAAAACCTACTATTTTCAAGTAGTACTGCCCTAACTTTGTATAGATTATCTGACTTAATCTTCTAAACATCTTAGGAAATTGGTATTTTTTTCCCATTTTATGATGTAGGAATATCATCTCTATTTTTAAATTCATTTTTAAATATGCATGGTATCACAGGGGGAAAACATGTCTTTTTCTTTCAGTCAGTCTAGTTGAATTCTGGTTCTGTAATTTATAAACAGTTTGAGCTTTTGCAAGATCCCCATATGCAAAATGAGGGTCATTATATTTACCCTGCATTGGAGAAGGAAATGGCAACCCACTTCAGTATTCTAGCCTAGAGAATCCTAGGGATGGGGGAGCCTGGTGGGCTGCCGTCTATGGGGTTGCACAGAGTCGGACACGACTGAAGCGACTTAGCAGCAGCAGCATATTGACCCTGCAGCATTGTTGAAAGGATTCTAAATAGCATCTTAAAATGTCTGAGTCATAACCAGTCACATGGTTGGCTGTATAACATTTGTAGAGCAATTTTTACTCACTAGACTTTCACTGAGCACCAGCCTGGTACCCAGTAACCCCTTACATAATTATAGACATAAATCAGGTTGCACCTGTACTTTGCAGACACTTACAATCTGGCTGGAGAGATAAATGAATATAAAACAAAATACAAACATGTGAATTAGCTATAACAAAGGTATTAGCATAGCACACAAGACTCTAAGGCAGAAATGTTTAATTGTACCTTAAGGAATTGGGAAAGTTTTATACAGTAGTGAAGATATTTGCTCTGAACAAAAAAAAAAAGTATGAATCATTATCTAATCTGGTAGGAAAAGGGGACAAAGTTTCAGGGAAAAGGAGAGAGTATGATGTGAAATATTCTGGGGACAGTAAGCAACTCAGTGGGCTCATGCAGACAGGAATGAAGGTGACAGTAGGATCGCTGTGCGGAGCCACACTGCCCACGAGAAATATACAAAGAAACACATTTATAATTTTTAATTTTCCAGAAAGTAATAATAGATTTTACTTAACCCAGTGTGTCAAAAATAGTATCATTTCAGCATAAGCAATACAAAACTCTTAGCAATGATTTTATATTTCATTATTTTTAATGTGGTGTCTTCAAAATCCTATGTGTGTTTAATACTTATAGCACATCTCAGTTTGGACTAGCCACATTTCAAGTGCTCAGAAGTCATGTGTGGCTACTGTGTATTTTTAATTTATTTTTCACTGGAGGAAGATTCCCCTGGAGGAGGGGGCATGGCACCCCCTCCAGTATTCTTGCCTGGAGAATCCCATGGACAAAGAACTACAGTCCATGGGGTCTCACAGAATCAGACACAAGGGAAGTGAGTTAGCCTGCCTGCCTGGAGGATAATTGCTTTACAATATTCTGTTGGTTTCTGCCATACATCAACACGAATCAGCCATAGGCATATATGTGTCCCCTCCCTCTTGAAAATTTCTCCCACCTCCCACCTCATCCCACCCCTCTAGGTATTTACAGAGCATTGGGTTTGAACTACCTACATCATACAGCAGATTCCTACCAGTTATTGGTTTTACATATAGCAATATATATGTTTCAGTGCTACTCTGTCTATTCATCCCACCTTTCCTTTCCCAACAGCAGAGATTTAGAGTAATTAAAGAGGCTGGAGGCTCAGGTCAGAACCATGGAGAGTACCAACACTTAAGTCAGGTGGGCGTGAAAGAAGACAGTGTCTTGTGGGGATCTGCAGAAGACGGTGGTCAAGAAAAATTGGGTGGGGGGCAGTGTTTGCTGACAAAGCCAGTATAAAAGAAGTCATGTAAAAGAGAATTTCAAAAGGAACTCGT